ACCTCCCCACAGCACAGCCAAGTGCAGACCATCTCAGACACCTGCACTCAGGCCCGTGGTCCAATCATCCTCTCTATGCGGACCTGCTCAGTAAAACCACGAGGAACCTGAAAACGGGCTCCCACAGAGAGATACTGTTTCACTCTGTACATCTTGTCTTCAGGTGAACTTGAGCCTAGACTCCTAGAGGCTACCTTGTAGTGCAGCTCTCCATCAGCAGAGCTAACTTGACCTGGCTCATCTTCCTTGCACATCCCTCCTCTCACAGAGTTCTTGGCTGTTTAAGCTCACTCACTTTTAGCTCCCCACTCCTCAAATCTGTCATTTCTATGATCAGTAAGAGAATGGATAAACAAGCATTGATATAGCCACATGGTATGTTTCTCAACGATAAAAAGAAATACACCAGAAATACAGGAAGATCTAGAAATATCTTAAGAACTTGTTAATCAGAAGAGGCCCTTTTGAAAAGGTTTCCATACAATTTTTCCAACTATGTGACTGTGGTGGTTTGAAAGAAAATGGCCCCCAAAGGGAGTGGCACTATTAGAAGGTGTGGCCTTGTTGGAGGAAATGTGTCACTGTGGGGGTGGGCTTTGCGGTCTCTTTTGCTCAAGCTTCCCTCAGTGTGACTGTCAGTCGACTTCCTGTTGCCTGCAAGATGCAGCACTCTCAGCTCCAGTACCACATCTACCTGCACGCCGCCATGCTCCCCCCCATGATGATAATGGACTGAACCTCTGAAATGGTAAGCAAGCCACCCTGATTAAATGTTTTCTTTATAAGAGTTGCCATGGTCATGGTGTCTCTTCACAGCAATAGAAACCCTAACTAGGACAGTGACATTGTGGAAACGACAAAACTGTAGGGACAAGAAATATCAGTGAGTTGAGAGAAAGGGAGGAATGGATAAATGAAAAGCAGGTAATTATAGAGTAGTGAAATTATTTTGTATGGTGCTGTAATGGGAGGTGTGTGCCATCATGTATTGTCAAAACCCATAGTACTCAGGGATTTCACAGAGTGAGCCCTATAATAACCAGTGTTCTCTAAAGGAACAGAACTGATAGAATGGATATATATGGTTTATTAGAGTGGCTTACAGGCTGCCCAGAGGATTCATGGCAAGCTGCTGGTCTTCCATTATGTTGGAATCCCGAAGAAGCTGGTTCTAATATCAGCAAAGGAATGCTGCGGCAATCGGACAGATGAAGTTGCCAGCAAGAGTGAGAGCAAGCAGGCAAAGAAGAAAGTTTTCTTCTTCCATGCCCTTTTATCTGGGCTGCCTGCCAGAAGGTGCCAAACACGTTTAGGGTGGGTCTCTCTGCTTCAAATAGTCTGGTCAAGAAAATCCCTCGGGCTGGAGAGATGGCTCAGAGGTTAAGAGCACTGACTGCTCTTCCAGAAGTCTGGAGTTCAATTCCCAGCAACCACATGATGGCTCACAACCATCTGTAATGGGATCTGGTGCCCTCTTCTGGCCTGCAGTCATACATACTGTATACATAACAAATAAATAAATCTTAAAAAAAAAGTTGAAAAAGAAAAGAAAATCCCTCATAGTTATGGCCAGCAGATGCCATCAAGTTGACAGCCAATAGCAGTCATTACAAGCCCCTGTGTAAATTATTCACCGTAAGTGATAATAATACAACATTAGTCATTTGTAACAAATGTTACAAACTTGTGGACGACATTAATGGGAACCAGTAAGAGATGAGGTATGAAGGAACTCTGGACCTCTCAATCTTTCTATAAAACTAAAACTGCATTTTAAAAAAAGCCTATTACTTTAAAAAGATTTCTCCAACACATCAATACACCCTTGTTCTTCTTCCAGGATGCCCTTCTCAGTCAGTGGCTCCACTAAGTATCCAATGATGCAAGTCCAAAATCCAGGCTTTGACTTTGCTGCCTCCTCGTGCTCAACTCTGAAGCTAATGAACAAGCAAGAGCTGTTGCTTTGCCCTTCTAAGCAACACTGTAATCTTTCTCTGTCTCCACATCCTCCACCACCATCCAGGTGACCATCCCCTGTCATGGACCACCACAATGACCTTGTCAACCTGCTTCCCCCCTTGTTTTCCTCCATGCTGTATCCACTGGGGCTCTAAAACACAGACATGAGTGCATCATCCATTGCTTAAAACCTGTGATGCATTTCCTGTTGCTCCTAGGATGAGAACACAGCTATTCAAGTGGCGTGCCTTCATGATCTGTCTCACCGCCCTCTCCAGGCTCATTCCCACCATGTTGCTGTGGAATATTCCTTTACACTGTGTGAATAATATAAGTCACTGTGATTGGTTTAATAAAGAAGTTGACTCACCAATAGCTGAACAGGTTAAGGTTAGGCGGGAAAGCCAAACTGAGAATGCTGGGAGAAAGAAAGGCAGAGCTGGGGAGTTGCCAGCAGGCTCAGAGGGAAGCAAGATAGTCATGGCATACTGAGAAAAGGTACCAAGCCATGTGGCAAATCATAGATAAGAAATATGGGTTAATTTAAAATGTGAGAGTTAGCTAGTAACAAGCCTGAGCTATTGGCTGAACTTTTTCTTTTGTTTTTTCAAGACAGGGTTTCTCTGTGTAGTTTTGGTGCCTGTGCTGGATCTCGCTCTGTAGACCAGGCTGGCCTTGAACTCACAGAGAGCTGCCTGCCTCTGTCTCCCAAGTGCTGGGATTAAAGGCGTGTGTCACCGATGCCCAGCTTGGCTGAGCATTTATGATTACTATTGAGCCTCTGAGTGGTTGCTTGGGAGCAACTGGGGGTCTACACACTACCCTTATGTGTCTCATGCCTTTTGGGGTCTTACTGTCTTTACCATTGACGACTGTGCATTCTATTCCTTCTGGAAAGGTTCCCATTCCTTTTCCTCTACTCAACCCCCTAAGTTTTGACGTAGCAGTCACTTCCTCAGAGGACTCTTCTTTGACTTTCCCGACGGGCTCAAATCTCCACATTTGGGCTTCAAGCAAGCTGTAATGGTGTGAGATGGACTGAGGCCAGTCTCCAGGTTGTACAAACAGCAACTGGGTGCTTTAGTTACTTTTACACAGTGATGAACAAACACTGACAGAAACAACTTCAGGAAATATTGATTCTGGCTCATGGTGTCAGAGGGCTCAGAAATGACAGCTCACAAAGGAGACGCTGACTAGTGAGGGTAGCAGCTAACACTGAGGTCTCTGGAGTGGCAAATGTGCCTTAGAGCCACTGTCCCTCACTTTGCCTTGGCACAGGAATCTTTCTCAGTGGCTCAGAGCCTCCTTCCCAGGGAGCTTGTGTTCCAGAATTCTCCCCCGAAGCTCATCAGCTCAGCTGTAAGCACTCACTGCCTCTGTGATCTCATCCAGGGAGGGAGCACTTTGGAGCCGAACACATTTGGCTGTTGCAGGATCCAGATTGCAAAATCTGGTGACTTCATGCTCCTTCCTTTCTTCCTTAGAGTAGACACAGTTCTCATCACGTTGGGGCAGCTTTACAAGAGCTTGTGAGGGTGATAGAAAAACAACATTGAAGAGACATTCAGTTTTAACTTTGTAAAAAGATTAGTGTCATAAGGTTCTTCAAAAAAAACCACTTTGTATTTATTCTTTGTGGATTTCACATCATGTATCCCGATTCCACTCATCTCCCCTCACCTCCATCCTCTGCCTTTATCAATGCTCCCCATATACAAAAGAAAATAAAAATCTCAGTGTGGAAGCTGTAGTGTGGCCCAGTGAGTCACACAGTGTACCCCTTAGTCCAGACATCTTCACTTGGATGTGTTCATTGCAATGGATCATTGTTCTGGCTCGAGGCCTCTGACTTCTGCTACACCCTCGGTAATGGGCTCTCACTGGGACTCCTCCTGGATATCCTGTTGTTGTTCTGTGTCGTGGAGATCCTGTAGCTTTGGATCTGCAGATCCAGCCCCTTCAGGTACTCCAGCAGTTCATAGATGAGGTGGATGCTGGGGTAGGCTAACTCATAGCCCTGGTTCTGTGCCTGAGTGGTAGCTAGGTTGGTCAGCCTGCCAGCTTTCCCTCATCAACACCACCAGAGTGAGAGAGTTCTCCAGCACTGCCCTGGCTAGTTCACCCAGTGCAGCAGGCAGCAAGGAGCAGGGCAGTTCTCCTATTCTCATGCCCTTGGGTCCCGCTCTCCCACACTCTCACCACCAGGGTTGGTTCTACTGTTTCACCCAGGTAAGGTGTACGGTCTGCTCTCCTGATTGCTGCACTTGGTGAGGGAAAGGGTCAGCTCTTCCATTCTCATGCCCGCCTCCAGGCTGCCTGCCACATTTGGCAATGCGGGGGGGGGGGGGGGACATATTTCCCTCACCCATGACACGACATGGCATAAGAGGGAGAGGGCATGTGCCACTCTCATGCTCTCATATCCACAGGACCAGCTCACCTGTGCCCCCGCCAACAGGGTCAGCTCTAGTGTGTACACCAGGCTCTCTCTTGTGCTGCAGTTGGTGAGGGGCAGGGCCGGCTCTCCTGCTCTTGTGACCCAGGGGCCAGTTCTCCTGTCCATCGCAGGTGGCGATGGGGAGGGCATCTTTTCCTCACCCGTGCCACCACATGGCTGGTCGGGTGGGGGCAGGGTCAGCTCACCTGCCCTCACACCCTCCAGGCTGGTTCACCTGTGCCCTCACCAAGCCAAGAGGGTCAGCTATACTGTGCTGCCTGGGTGAGGTGCAATGCCAATTTTCCTGTTCCTATGACCCCAGGTCAGCTCTCCTACACATCATAGGTGGTGAGGGACAGGGTTCTTCTCTCCCTTGTTCACTCCACCATATGACAGATGAGGGGTAGGACCAGATCTTTCATGGACTGTCATGGGGGTAGATCACTTGTGCTACCATCAACAGGGTCAGCTCTACTGTGCTGCCCAGGTGAGGTGCAGGGCCCCCTCTTCCAAGTGCTGGCAGGACCAGTTCTCCCTAGTGCTGCAGCTGGTGAGGGGTGGGACCAACTTTGTGCAGCCTATTCTCACTGCTTTCAGTGGCATGGACCTCACCACGGATGGTGGCTGCAGCAAGGCCATGGACCCAGATATGGCCCCTGGCAGCAGCCCAGGCTTGAGTGACACCATGGCTCTGGGTGGCAGCACAGGCCATTTCGATCTGTATGGCTTAGCAGAGGCCTTGGACACTAAGATGGCCCTAGGTGGTGACCCAGACCCCTGTCATTCACGTGGCCCTTGGTGGTAATACAGGCCATGAATATCCACACAGACCCAGCTGTAGTTAGGTCATGGACTCAGACATGGTCCTTGGGAGCAGCCCAGATCCTGTTGCCACCATGGCCCTGGTTAGCAGCACAGGGCACTCAGACTGGCATTGACCCTGATTGTTTTAATAAAAGAGCTGACTGGCCGGTAGCTAAGCAGGAGGTAGGACAGCAAGACACAGAGGATGCTGGGAAGAAGAAGGGCAGAGTCTTGGGAGTCTTGAGCAGATGCAGAGGGAAGCAAGATGAATATGTTGAAAGAAGGTACCACCATGTGGCAGAGGGTAGATAAGAAATATGGCTTAATTTAAAATGTAAGAGTTAGCTAGTAACAAGCCTGGGCTATTGGCTGAGCATTTATAATTAATGATAAGTCTCTGAATGGTTATTTGGGAGCGGCTGTCAAGACACAGAGAAACTCCACCTACAGACCCAACCACAGAGTGGCTCTTGAACACCCAGCTGACCCAAGGTGGTAGCTCAGACTCTGGGTCGCCACACAGCCTTCGACGGTGACAGGAACCTCAGACATCAACACAGACCCTGGCTGTAGCAGGGCCACAGACCCAGACATGGCCCTTGGCATGGCCTCAGGTACCAGCAGATGTTACTCAGGTCTGTATGGGCCCAACAGCAGTGCAGCCCTCTGACAGCAACATGGCCACATGTGGTGGTCCAGATCCTGGGCATCTGTGTGGCCTTTGGCGGCAACACAGGCCACAAACATCAACATAGCCTTAGGCTGTAGTAGGACCATGGACCCAGACATGGTTGGTCCTTGGTAGCAGCCCAGGACCAGACGTCATTGTGGCCCTAGCTGGCATTGTAGATTGCCCAGATTGGCATGGCCCCAGACGGCAAGCAGGCCATCTCTGTCAGCCTGCTCCTCATGGGCCTCTCTTCTCCAGATCCACCTCTCTCCCCAGCACATGAATCATTCTGCGCCCCCCCCCCCCCCCCCCCGCATCTCCTCTATCTCTCTCCCATGTCCGCACTGCCTGGTGGTGGGCTCCTGGCCGATTCTGTCATAAGGTTCTACATACTTGTTTTGAGAGTGTCTCCTGTGTTTGTCAAGGAACAACACATTTGTAGACAGACAGCAGGCTCTCCGCTGAGAATGAAGTTATAGTCACCTTCCTGAGGCTCAGAATCCAGCTTCCTCTTTGTTCACTGATGTCCCAATCTACGGAGTATTGGGAACCTGTCACCCACCCCACTGTCTTCACTTTTCTCATTTCTCTTTGTTTATTCATTCAGTAAACCTCCAGAACACATAAGATGGCAGGCCCTGAACGGCCCTCGTGGCTCCCTGACCTTTTGTGACGTATTCTCCTTCTATTAGAGTGAGAGTTCCAGGGGTGCACTGGTCTGTGCCTTTTCCTCACTAGAACAGTGATTTACACTGAACAACCTAGTGACCGTGTGGACACCGTAGACGACTGTTCAGGGACCTTCTTGATTGCCTGCCTAGCCCTCGGCAGCCACTTCCCTCTGCCTGGCAACGGAACCCTGGTTCTCTGTCTCTGTCTCTGTCTCTGTTTCTTTCTCTGTCTCTCTATCTCTCTGTCTCTGTCTCTGTCTCTGTCTCTCTCTCTCTCTCTGTGTGTGTGTGTGTGTGTGTGTGTGTGTGTGTGTGTGTGTGTTATGATGTGCTGAACATGCAACCCAGGGCCTCAATAACACTCAGTAAATGCTCTAGCCATATAGGAAAATCTTTATTGATTTCAGGTCCTGTGGCATGATGGAATTAATTCAAGTTCAAATCAGTTGACTAGATCCCCAGCCTAGGGCAGAGCAAACTTGGGTAAAAGAGATGCAGGCAAAGGCAGAAGACAGGGTGATCCATCCACAAGCTGAGAGACGGAAGAGGTTCCCCCAGAAAACCACCAGAAGCAAGGTGAGGGGCAGGGGAGTACGCCTCTTTCACAGCCTTCAGAAACCACCAACACCCCTCCCCCAAGAGGCCCTGAAACTGGAGGCTTGTAAGGCTGGCACTGCTGTAGAACACCATGTCATGGCTGCTTGCCCATGCTTGAGTGGAGCCCAGAATCAGGAAAGCAGAAGTTAGAACACTGGGTTGGACTAGATGGACTGGGTTCTGATGACTTTGCCTTTTCTGTATAAAAGATCTGTTTCTTGGATCAGCTGCTGTACCGTGTACTACAAACTGAACATTTTGTTTTGTTTTGTAGCCCTGGCTGTCCTAGAAGTTGCTATGTAGACCAGGCTGGTCTTGAACTCATAGAGATACTCCATCTCCTGAGTTCTGGGACTAAAGGTGTGCACCACCACACCTGGCCAAATAGGACATTGTAAACAACAAGAACATCTTGTTCCCCGTGAAAGCAGTGCACTGTCAAAATCTGCAGGCTTGGCGGCTTCTGAGGGTCCAAGGGGACTCAGTCTCCTCCTTCCTCTTGCTTCAGATTTTCTGCAGATGCATCACTCTGTCCGAGGTCCCTCTGCCCTAGTCACACTGATTAGGACTGTCCTAAGGATCTCACAGATTGCAAATAAGGCCACACACACAGGAACTCCACTCTGTGACGTTCTCTTGTGGTTGAGAGCCTTCTCTACTTAGGGATTAAGTTCCTTAAAACAAATCGTATATTTTGCAGAAAGCCATTCAGTGAAAGGTTGGGGGGGGGGGAATTCCACTACTTTCTACATGATCTTTCCATATGATGGGAAGCAGGAGACCAGAAACAGAACAAATTGTGTATGGAGGGAGGGCAGCATGGTATTTGTCTCCAGGTACATACAACTCCAGCTGCCCTGCAGGGGAGCTCATCTCCTTGCTTGGTGTCTTCTCTGACTAATAGTCCAGGTACCTAATGGGTGAACAGTTACTGTCAATCCCACTGGGTGAGAATAAGATCACTACTGCAATTTTTGAGCCACATTTGAAGCAAGTTTTATTAAATACTGACCAGGATTACAAACCCTGGCCAGGTCCATACCTGGGATTGCCAGAGTATGGCCATGAATTACATTGGTCAGGGGCTTACAAAGGCAAACCCCACAAGGCTACACACTTCCCACCTTCGTCCAATCTGGGGCAAGCATACATCCCGATGTGCTTCCTGCCTACGTACCTCCCACCTACATGTGATCAAGCACATCCTGTGCAGTTGGGCAAGCAAGCTTGTTTACAGAAGTGAAAACACAGGGCTTGTTATCTGACATGAACAACAGCCCCCAGCATTCTAGGAAGTCATCCATCCTTGGGCAAAGGGGGCTTACAGGTTAGAGGCATTTTTGTTTTATAGACCTCTTAAGCACAGGAATTTAAACTTAAAACATAACGTTAGCCCTCACGGTATTTTCGCTTCTCTCAATGGGCTTCTTTGTGAGGGAACCAGAGAATAGCTGGCATGGTTTCTGATCAGGCCTTATTCTAGGGGCTCAGGAGGCAGCTAAGGGACTTGTTTTCTTTCTATTTCAGGATGGAGAAGCCAGTCCTGTTTAGCAGAGTCCCAGTCCCACATGGTTTCAGGGAGGAAGCAGTGTGGAGAAACCTTGCTTGTCCTGTTGATCTCAGGGTTCCAGGTCCACTCTCCCAGCCTGGTCTCGTTTTCTTCACCAAGAAAACTCCAGTGTGTGAAGCTGCAGGCCCAGCCTTGTACATGGAGAGGGTATAGGTGGCATCCTTGCCACACTGGGGCCTCGTCTGAGCCTGTGAGCAGGAGTGAGTATTTGCTATAATATGTATGGTTGGAATCTGTCATTTCCTCTGTGGGTTCATGCCTTGAATACCTGGTCCCTTGCCCATGGCGTTAACAACTGGGAAGCCTTTAGCAGGTTAGATCTGGCCAGTGGAAGGTGGTCACATTATTTGGGCCTTCGAAGGTTTTATTTAGTCTCCTTTCTCTGGTTCATCTCTGTTACCACGGGAACAAGCTGATTCCACCTCATACCCCTGTAGCCCTGGCCTGAGCGGCCCCACTGCCAGACCTTCACTGACATAATGGATTGAAGTTCTCAAATGTGAGCTGAGGTAACCTTTTCCTCTGCTAAGTAGCTCCTCTCAGGTGTTTTGTCAGAGCAACAGCTTGTGAGCAGGGACAGATGTCTGCTCTGGCGTCCCTAGCCCATGTGCTCTCCTCTGGATTCCACTTCACCAAACACTTTTCCAAAAGGCCACGAAGCCCAGGAACTGTTGTTTTCAGTTTTCAGCGTTGGTTGCCATGGTTCCTACGCTCCTGACAGTTCAAATTATTTCCGGTGTTTCAGTACCTGAATCAGCATTGGTCAAGAGAGTCCCAGGTCCTTTAGCTCTAGCATGTTTCACTCACTAAGTGGAGAACAAATGTACATGCAAACGTAATGAATGTTTTAATCTAGGGCGTTTTCTAAGGCTTTCTAGAAAGTGTTTAAAGCGTCAGGCTGGGTGGAGGCTGATTCCTCAGAAGGGAGTTGGGCTTTCAAAAAGTAGAAATGACCTCGGTTCTGTCCCAGAGATGAAGGCCCTCAGCTGCTTCCCACCCAGGGTGGAGCAAGGTCATCCCGGGGGAGTGGAGGCTCTTGGGCTCTCAGCTCGGTCTGGGGTGTGAGAAGGTGAAGGGTGGCTTTAGGGCAGACTGGGGTTTGGAGCTTGGTCCTGCAGCCCACTTAGAGGGTCAGCAGTTATTGAGATAGTATTTGTAAGGTGTTTAGCATGGGTGTTAGCTCTTATTATAATAACTTCATTTGGAAATAAAATAAAATAGCTTATGACTGCAAGAGATCAGACAAAGGGTCATATTGGATCATGATATTCAATATTTTTATCAATTAGAAACCTCAAAATAGCATTAAAAATGAGTAATATATTTGTACTTTTTTCAGAAGGAAGATGAGTAAAAAAGAAAAAGTCACAGAAGCCAGCCTATCACACAGTAAAATCGGCTTGCCTCT